GAATATATCTTATAAGGGTATATTCTAAAAGGTCCTAGCTAACTAATAATTCTCTAAGTAGATTAACTAAATTATAATAGCGTTATCTCTAGTCCTAAATATAACCGCATAGATATTATAGTAGGCCTGCTATATCTATATATATAGCGGGTATCTTATATATATATATAGGAGGGCGTGGCCTCCTCCTTAGATTAGCCGGTATACCCCTTAGGAGGGGTAGGTAAGGTTTTTCGTAAAGGGGTTTAGGCCGGGTTCCTAGATTACTATTATATTATACTTAGCGCGGCACCGAAGTAAAAGCTCCCGCCGCGCTTAACTCCTCCCTATATTCTATAAAAGGATATAGATTCTTATTAGTTAGAAAGGGGGGTTAAGATAATATACCCGGTATAACCGGGGTCTAGCTTTAGGGTTTTTACTACGGTACCTTACTAGTCCCGCGGGGGATTATATAGGCGCTTATTAGGCCCGGTATCAGGGAGCCCTCCTATTCTCTAATCCTTTTCGGGGGCTATTCTCTACCTCTATAAAAGGGTCGGTCCTAGTCTTCGGCGATAATAATTAGGGGGAAGATCTACGGGTACTATAGATATACCGCTTTAGTCTAGCGGGTAATATTAAAGTCCTTAGCTCGGTACTTATATATTTCGCGGGTCTTTTTAGCTTCTTTCTGTGATAGCCGGTATAAATCGTTAAAGGTATTATAATCTTTAGTATAAGCGGTATAATAGTAGGGGCGCCCGGGCGCTATAGCGTTATAGTATCCTAGGCCTTTTAAGTATGCTAATTCGGGCTTAGTATAGTAGTGATATACCCTTTCCGTTATAGTGTAGTTATTAGCCTTATAGCTAAAGTATAGGTATGTATAGTACTTTAGAGGGCTAAGGTTAGGATTATATAGTTTATAGATATAGCTACCCCCCTTATAAAGGAGGGTATTCCGGATAGGGCTAGCTACCCTTTCCGGTAAAGCCGATTTAATAAGGAGAAGTATTACCGTACTAATATTATAATAGGGTATTTACTATTATACTCGGAGGATTTTAGCCTTAGGATTTATATCTTATAAGGATACTAGTAGGTCTTTTTCGGATAAGTCGTTTAAGATCTTCTAAAGAATAGCCTTAGCTAATATAGAGTAAGTATATACGGCTAGGGTAGTTCCTTTACTAAAGGCCTTCTCGACCTATTACTTTTTATAAGTAGTTTACTACTATACCCCTTTAATAAAAGTAAGGTAGATATTACCGTTTAATAGTTTCTATACCGCTATAGTATCATATTAGATAGTTATAGCGTTTACTACTTAGATAATTTCCTTTAGGTTCCTAGCTCTAAGGGGCTAGTCTTCGGGGAGGGTTCCTTAACGGATAATTAATTCCCGGTAATACTTAGCGGGGATTATTTTAGGGGGGGCGGGGTCCCGCGGCGGTACCGCTATAGGAGCCTAGGCTGTAATATTAGCCTAAGTCTTTTTTGTACCGTTTATTTCTTTTCGAAGTTCCTTTTAGATAATATAGTGGACGGAAGCGTAAAGGTATACTAATAGTACTATACTAGCGTTATTACGGGTATTATATATCGTAATTAGTTCTTTTACTAGCTTTATAACCTATTTAATTATATTCCTATTAGCTAGTAAGGCCTAAATTTCTGCCTTAATCTTAGCTACTCTTAGTTCCGGGGGGCGTAGTAGTCCCCTTTTAGTCTTATATTGGTTCCGCGCTATATTCTGCCTTAGGAGGGGGGGGGGGCGCTTATATTACGAAAAGTAGGTCTATTACGAATTTTATATTATTAAGGTTAGTATAACGCTATCCTACGATTCTTCCGGTTATACCGTAGCGCTAGTATTACGGTGCCGCTATAATAGTATCCCGGGAAAGAGGTAGTAATTATATTTCCTATCTTAGTGGTTTTATCGATTTTACTCCTATTACGCGCCCGTGGTAGATAGGCGTGTCGAAATCGTGTTATTAATTATAATAATAAAGAATAAAGTATCTTTTACCTAATTATTTATATATACAGTATTAGTTTATATTTTATATTTATTTATATTTAGAGGTATAGGCTTAGATAATAAATATATAATAGCTTTTATATTATTAAATTTAGAATTAAGGTAATTATCTTAGTAAAAGCCTAGTATACTATAAATTACACGCTCCTATATTAATTATCCTTTTTATTTAATAAGGGTTATAATCTTATATATTTAGTATTAAATATATTAATAAAGATCTTTACTTATTTATAGGTTATTTATAGGTTAGTTTTATAATAATAAATAATAAAATATAATTTCCTAAATTCGACTACTAATAACCTATTTAAAAGTACTTATATTATAGTTGTCTTTATAGTAAATAAGGTAGTATATTAGTATTAATATTAATTATATGGATATTATAAACTAAGCTTCTAATTATAATATATATATATATATATATATATATTATATTATATTAAACTATATCTATATAAGACCCTATACCCTTAGTTCTAGATAGTATAAACTCTATTATAGGTTACCCTTTTATTTAGACCCTATCTAGTCTTTCCTAATAATCTCCCCTTGTTTTTTTCCGTGCCTGAAGGCTAAGGTACGAAGGCCTATTTATCCGCGCGCGACCCCCTTCGTGATTACGTACTACACGATACTAATGCTACCATCGGCGTATACCTAGTGATGCGTTGTTACTATTTTTAGAAGTTGTTACAGTGTCCCCTGCGGCATGCGGTAGGGGTGTCTCATCCCGTCCGTGTCCCGTCCCGTCCCGTAGTCCCTGTCACACATACCACACCACCACTCAACTCACCACAACCTATCCGAGCCACAACGCGGGATGTGAAAGTGCCAGTGGGGATTGAAGAAGAGTACGTCGTACAACACGGCTACTGTGCTACAGCTCTACTCACTCGTAATCTGACTAGGATGCCGGCTGCATTGTTTCAGCTTCCACCTCAAAGAACGGCAAACCCTTCTCCCGTGCTGCCCCCTCAAAAACCACTCCCAGATCGTCTGACCGGAAGCCTGACAGATCGCACATGACACCCTCCACTCTAGCACGCCGCAATCGCACGCGGATGGTCACCCTGGCTGACGGCCGGGACCCGTTGGAAGAGGCGCGAGCACTAGCATAGACGTGCGCAGCCACTGCATCCAGCAGAGAGCGCAAGGTGGGAAGAGGTAGGGTAGTGACAAAGTCGTCGCCGTGTCGCTGTTCTACACCATGCGAGAGGTTCGAGCTCAAGAGTCTGACGCGAGCATGGAAGTTGGAGCATGGACGCGACGAAGGTGGAGCTGGAGCTGGAGCTGGAGGGGGTGGGGGAAAGGAAGCTGGAGACACTGAATCTGAAGGTCCGGAAAGAAGGAGGACTGTAAACGTGGGCGGGGCCGATGGCTCGGCAAATTCAGTCGGTATCACGACTTTTGGCTTGATTTTTGGACTGGGAGGACTCCTCGTCTCGTCGCCATCATCGTTGTCACTGTCCTCAGACGACGTGGTGTGGATCCTGACCCTCACCGGCCGCCGCCGCTCCTGCCGCTGCCCCTGCCGCTTCAAACCACCGCGGCTTTGCGACGAAAGCAGGATAGTGGCGGAAGTCCTGCGTTTCGGTCTGCGTCGTCGCATTTGCATGACTTGGTCGTCGCTTGCCTCGGAGCCGCTGTCGCACAGGGACACCAGTTCCGAGGCCCCGAGAGCAGTGAGGGATTGCGCCCTGCCTCGGTTGTCGCCAGAGGAGCATCCATCCCCCGCATCATCATCATCATCATCATCATCATCATCATCAAGGCCCCCGACGGATTGCACCTTAAAATGGGGGGGATAGCTGACGCCGTTCGTGGCCAGGAAGTGATGCACTGCGAGAGCCGATTGGACATGTAGCTTTTCCATGGCGACACTTTCGCTGTGCCCATCGGCGCTCATCATGTTCGTTCTCTTGCCGTGGTGACATTGGATCGCGTGCGCCGTCCAACTGTTCCGGGATGGGTTATTCGATGTGACCACACCGACTATGGCGCGTCGGGGACTGATGAGGCGTAGGTTGTCTGGATTCGGAGGTTAGTGGGTGGGGATGGCGATGATGCTCGAGTTCAAGTACCCATACTCTCGCCATGCCGGAGACGCCTTACCGATAACCTGATCCCTATACAAGAGCCAGCTGCTGGGAGAGTTCAAGGCCGCCATGTCGATATTGTGCCATGGGAAGAAGGGACGGAAGTGGCCCAGGACTGGCGATTTGCAGCACTTTCACGGGACAAGGCGCATAGACAGATGCAGATATATTCGTACGACGGCGAGACTCTAGGACCTGAAAATAGAAGCGAACCAGACAATTCCTGGGCAATCAAGGTAGGTAGTGAAGGCTAGATAACAGCAAGCAAGTGACCCG